GGAGAAAGCTCGGAATCTATATATTCTTACATGACTATCTGGGTTCCTTTTGATCAGATATGTTTGGGAAAACCTGGACTAGTGGTCAAGGGTATAGACTTGGGAGTTGCCAGTGCTGGATTTTACTAAGTAGGTGACCCTGGGAGATTTACTTAACCTCTCTGGGCCTCAGCTTCCTCATCTGTACAATGGAAATAATAATAGCTATTTTATAGGGCTTCCAATACTCAATGTCTGCTCCAGGTTTTGAAAAGACTATTTTAAAAGAGCTTTCCTAGTGAGTGCCTTAGCCAACACAGCTAAACATGTTGCTACTAAGACAAGTATACTATTATGGAGTATAAAGAGACAGGAAAACAGGAAAGCTCCTATCACTCAGCCAGTATGATGGGACTACAAGGCGACATTTTGTAGTTGCCACAAAGCATGCTGTGCTGTTGGGTGAAACTGAAGAGAATGACAGAGTCAATGAAGAACAAATATAATCGTCAACATACACCAACCAGGAAGAGGAGGCTGTAAAGGAGCACTGGCGGAGAGGTTCAGAAATCATAGTGTAAATTTCAACTCCAACACTTACTAGAAGGGTTAAGTTTAAAAAAAAAAATATCTCTCAGCCCAGTTGCTTTATTTATGTAATGGGGCATGACAAAGTGTTCTTTATCTGAAACTGTAGTGATCAAATGAGATAATAAATGTGATATGATTTTATTTTGAAATAAGAGGTTGATTCTTTTATAAACACTCACTTAATAAAAAGAACATCCCCAAACACAGTTTTTAAAAACGCTTACACATAATCTACCTAATCTGAAACAACCAGTGATGTAGAGTTTTTTTTTTTTTCTTCTAGGTTTTTAACATATATGATTTGGGATTGAAATTTTTGAAAAAAAAATTTTTTTTGTATTTTCATGTTGCCATCAAGGGCACTTATAGTTTTATATCTTACTTTTTATTTAATTTTATCACATAAGTGTTTTTGCATCATTGAAATGGCTGTGCATGACCATTATTTACTAAAACAACCCTGTTGTTGGACTTTTGCTTTGTTACAAGCTTTGTGCTATTATAAAAATCACTGTCATGAACATCTTTGTGTTTTAATATTTTAAAACACAGATTTACTACTTTTTGCCTTTTGAAGTCATTCTAAAGGAATGTGGAATTACTGAGTCTATGGCACACAATTTTAGTTATAGGATGCTTTTTAAACCCACAAAGTGCAGTGAAAATGTAAGGATGGGTTACAGCTCACATTTATCAAGTCCTTCCTGCAGCAGGCATGGGACTGTGCTGAGTACCTGGGGAGTAACTCACAGAGCAGCTGGGAATCCTTGTGTCAGTTCTAAAGACACTAATAAGTTAACAAAAGTGACAGAGATGAAATCAGCAGCAAGTCAGCCCTCAAGGAGCTCTCCCTGTGGAAAGGACAGCATCTCCATAAATAACCTAAATCAAGCTTCTGCCCTCAGTCAGAAGCTGTGCTACCTTGGGCAAGACACTGTATCTCTCTGGGACTCTTTCCATACCTGAAAGCAAGAAGCTGAGATAATCTCTTGGGTCTTTCCAGTTCTGAAAGTTCTCTGATTCTGCCCTGACGTGTGGTCCCTGTCTTCTGTCTTCTGGCAGGGGTTTTAAATAGCTCTAATGCTACAAGGCCAACTGCTCACCGCTTGAGCAGTAAGATGATATTGATTGTGCAGGTGCAGAGGAGGCAGAAGTCCTGGCTGCATCATCTGTAACTGGTGACAAGCCACTATACACTACGGACGGTTTGTCTGGGGAGAAGACACACTTGATCATTATGCCCTGGGTCCAAGGTCTTTCTTTGCCAAAGCAAGCATCAGTACTTGGGAGAGACTCATATCTCCCAGTAAACATCCTGTTTCCTTTACTAGTTTTGTAAGGGGTGAATCTTGAGTAATTCATGTAAATAAATTCACCTAAATAAAGTGAAATTAATTTTATTTTATCAATGAAAGAAAAAGAAAATACTATGAAGGCCTAACATGAAAACGTTTTCATGTCCCAAGTGTAAATAAAAGTGAAATATTTTATTTCAGTGACTAAAATATAGTGAGTCATAAAAGTGGTACAGGGTTTTTTTGTTTTTCTAGCTTTTTCACATTTATGATTTTGAGTTGGATTTTGGAAATTTTGTTTGCATTTTTCATGTTGTGATCAAGGACGCAGGTTGTTTTACATCTTATTTGTTATTTAATTGCATCACATAAGTATTTTTCCCTTGTTGAAATTGTTATACCGAACCATCATGTACTTAAACAGTCCCTATTGTTGGAACTTTGCTTTGCTATAAATTTTTGCTGTTATAGAAATCACTATTATATGTGCTATTATATAGCATTACTAAGATTTTTACTTTTAAAATGCTTTAAAGTAGTGCACATGGACCTCAGAAAGTGTTAGCTTAAATGTGAGCCTGTGTTTATGTGCAACATCTAATTACAATCTAGTTACAACAGAGGGAAGAATCCAAAATATCTCTACAGTAACTTCTGTAAACATTTTTCTGATACTGCTCTTTTAACTCAAATAAGACATCTTGCTCCTCTGTGGAGTTCAATAACTCCCTTGTTTTCTTGAAGAAAACTTCACTGGTTCTGATCTTACTGATTTTGTAGAGTGGAAGACAGGCTAGACAGAGGCTGAGAGACCAGAGTCTGCCCCACTCTCTGCCAACACCCTGGGAAAGGCATTTTCTCTCCTTGAACTTCAGTTTCCTCATAATGGAAACAAAGAGAACTGTGTTAGATATTTAGTAACTACAGGAGTCTCCCTTATCCTGGTTTTTGCTTTCCATGGTTTCAATTACCTTGGGTACAATACAATAAGATATTTTGAGAGAGAGAGAGAGAGGCCATATTCACATAACTTTCATTACAGTATATTGTTATAATTGCTCTAACTTACTCGTTATTTTTGCTAATGTCTTACTGTGCCTAATTTATAAATGAAACTTTATCGTAAGTATGTACATTTAGGAAAAAACACAGTATTTAGAGTTTTGTGCTATATATATTCAGCCATTTACTGAAGGTCTGGGAAAGTATCCCCATGACTAATTGGGACTACTGTATAGCATTCAGTAGTACAATATTCTAGGTTTCTGTAGTGCAATAGACTAGCTAGTGAACTGGGCTTGAGTTGTGATATTCCCTGCATCTAAGATAAACAAGTTGCCAATAAAGTGACAGGGAGAATTATGCTCCTGCGCTTAAAAAGGAGACTGCCTCACTGGCCCTCATGCATCACCTCTCCCTGGGTCTGTGCCCTTTGTCATGCATTTGTTGTCTCTTCTGCTAAAGGTGAAGCACGTTGTCCTGTCTTTGACTTTGGGCTCAGCCCTGTGACTTACTTTGGCCAGTGGAATGTTCACGGCCATGATGCCACCAACAGCTTGCAACTTGCATGACTGTGGTTGTAAAGTTAGGCATTTTCTTTTGCATCACCCCAGGAAGGTCTTACCCTGGCTAGACTGCTGGTCCCAGGAAGAGGATGAGAGGCATGCGGTGCAGAGTTGGCTCAGCTGCTGAGCCTTTCACTGAATCTCTCCAGTTGGCTTACAAATGTGTGAGCAATAAGAAATCATTGTTGTTTTAAGCTACTGAGTTTTGGCATTGTATGTTACACAGCACTGTTGTGATAGCTAACCAATACAGAGGGCAAGCTCTTTTCTAAAAGGAAACATGTATTTCCCTAAATACAAAATATGAAATATAAATGAGCTTTATTTGTGGTACAATATAGATATTAAGACTTCCTGGCTGGGCATGGTGGCTCACACCTATAATCCCAGCACTTTGGGAGGCAGAGATGGAAGGATTGCTTAAGCCCATAAGTTCAAGACCAACCTGGGCAAGATGTAAGGCCCCATCTCTACAAAAACATTTAAAAATTAGCCAGGTGTGGTGGTACATGCTTGTAGTCCCAGTTGGAAGGCTGAGGCAGTAGGATATCTGAAGCCTGGAAGTTTGAGGCTGCCATGCGCTATGATCACCTCACTGCATTCCAGCCTGGGCAACAGAGTGAGACACTGTCTCAAAAAAAAAAAAGACTTCCTACACTGTAGTTAGCCTGCATTGGGTTGATATCTGTGTGACTTTGGCTCAGTTAACTTCTCTTAGCCTCGGTTTCCACATCTGTAAAGTGGGGTGCCCGTGTAATTAAATTTACTGTGAGGATTAAATCAGAGCGCACATGAGAAACATAACACAGTGCTTTCACGTACGCGCTCAATAAATGGGAGGTGTTAGCCTACCATTTTCTAAATTCCTACGGAACTTAGAGTGCATGCTCCAAAATTCAGCACATATCTGAAAAACAACGTAGAAATATATTCTCAAATCTGACGGGCAAGTATTTTCTCACCCAATAGACATAAGCACTTTGAGGGTAAGGTTGATTTTTGTTTGGTTCCAGCTGGGGAAACAGCCACTGTGAGCACTTTGAGTAAAGTCAAATCCTTTAGTCTCTTTCACTGTTCTTTTCATCCTCTGATTATCAAAGAGATATTCTCCACTGGTATTACAGCAGCTTTCTGATACAGAGTAACCTCCCTTTTCATGAAGAATGAAAATGCCTAAGGTCCAGAGAGCCTTAGATAAGCAACAATTATTTCGATGGTTACTTTGTATCAGTTACTTGTTGATGGACTGTTGATTTCCTTTTATAAAAGTGATAAAAACTTTCTTTTAAAAATAAATTTATTTTATTTTTAAAAAGTAGGTCCGCTTGAAAAAAATAGATAAGTGATCATACAGTAGTACTTAGATATGGCCAAAAATGTTATAAAGGTGGTACTCAAATAAGTGATGTTGAGAAAATGCTGAGTTAATAAGTACTGAACTGATTAAAGCGGAAATTCTGTTTACAAATGGAAATCAGAAATTATATCTACTTCGCTAAAGCATTCACTAATTCAAACCTGATACCAGTTTTGATTGACTCTGTTTCATCACCTCTGAACTTAGATAACTGAGTTTAGCAGTATTACGGGACTGTAAGCATAACGAACACTTCTAAAAAATCAGCATAACATTTTTCATGTCAACACCAAGGGCACTGACAACCAGCTCCTTTCAATTATCTGGAAAAAAAAACAAATACAGATTTTGTGTTTTCTGATTTTATTGAAGCCGCCAGAAACCATCTGCACATGTACCAGACATGCAGGGTGACACCCATTTGATTCCAAATAGGCTGGCAAAGTAGGCCAAGTGTATCTTTGTGTCTACAATTATCAATTTCAAATCCTGGAAAGATGTCTATAGAAGGGAATCAGGAAGAAACAGGGCGCTCTCTCTCATCTCCCAGTGCAAACAGCCATTGTTCAAGACCAATTAGCATGACTGGTTGGCCCTTCTTCTTGAAGGTTACATGTCCAGGCTGGGAGCATCTGCTGCACGTTTCTTCATTTCTTTCCCATCTTGAGCAATTCGGTTCCTAAGATCTGTTTCCTCGTGGCTTCCTGGAGCTCTGATGACAAACCGCCATACTTTGTTCCTGTCCTTTAAGGCCCTAAAGGGCACTAGAGAACACACAAAATTTGTTTCTAATTTTGCATCTGCCAAAACATTCCTATAACAATACAAGACTTTAAAAATAGGATGCAACATCCCTCTAATTCCACAAAATAAACAAATCCAAAAGGAAATTAAACACAGTCCTTGAAAATGCAGCATAAATATTTTTACACTCATTCCCCCTTTCCTTAGCTGACAAAAACTTGTCCCCGAATTATGATTTAAGATTGCATATTTATCCTTTTATGTTTACAACAGATAATCATGACATAAGCCAATGAAAAGAAACACTAGGGCTTTCTTCTTCTTGGTTTCATGTTTTGTAAAATGAATGTCCCTCGGGACAGTTTAAGAGAATGTGGAATCCAATTTCCTCACTGGCGTTAGGAGTTTTATTTTTAACTCAAGTACTCAAAATAATAGACATTCTCTACGTACCCTTATCCGCAGTTGGAGTACACCAGACATGGAGCAGAATTATCTTTCCATTTTCATTTTTAGATAGTTCAGGGTAACTCAGCGTTCTGAATTCCTGAATCTTAGCCAAGGTGATGTCATTAAATCTATAATGAAAACAGTGTCACTGAGAGAATTAATTCATTATGGTGGAATTAAGTTAAATCCTTTATGATATGCTATTAAGTACCCACACTAACTTGCTTGCATCAACCTAAATGAAGCACATTCAAATGCAAAAAAAGAAAAACAAGTTCCAACCTCAAAGCTCATTGAATATTAGGTAACTTTCAAAGTTAAATTTGTTTAACTATTAAAAATATTTATAAATCTCATGGTATTTAAGACATCTTAAATGTGTTACAGTGGCCAAATACTTTGTGGTTTATATAACATCTTTGCCTGAGGGAGTATAACTTACTGTATAAATCATTATTTTGTATTTTATAAATGTTTTTGCCTTATGATTTGCTTCCTGCAATAGCCAAATAACACAAGAACTGCCCAACGTTTCATTAATCCTTAAAATGTTATTACACTCAGCCCAGATATGATAAAACAGTGTTTCCAGAGTTTGAAGTAACTTGATCAAAATTTTAAAGACATTTCTAATCCCCAAATTTACGATGTAATCAACAAATACTTATTTTGTTAGGTTCTGCAGAGAAAAATGAACAAATGGATTCTATTCCCTGACCCCTAGAATTTTACAGTTCAGTCCGGAGCCATGACATATTCGTGTAAAAATCTATCCCCTTGAACCTGTGCAGAAGAGGAAGAGCTACGTAACTATTAGCTTACAAGGGACTATTTCTGCTTCTGACACCAAATTTCTGCTGAGTCCAGGGAAACTTCCCACTTCCTCTCTATATCCTGGCTCACTGCATGCTTATCTAGGATAATGACTGCCTTGAAGGGGGTTGGGTTTCTTAGAGGAAAAAAACTTACGATGATATTCAGTATGAAAACTTGAATGTTAATAGTTTGGTTTTTTTAAATAAAGGTTACCTATTCAAAAATTAGGTCATTTCATGCTGGTAGAAAGAACATACATTCTCAGAAGATAACTGAAAGAAATCACAATTCATGTTCAAAGCATCTTGCTTCTGACACATGGCTGTTAAGTGACAAATGGAAATTTCCTGAGCTCAGTAAAACGACTTGACAATAGGCTGCATACAGTTTCTATAGGAAAGCGGAATGTCAAAAAAAAGTTGTAGGAATCATGCACCATCATTAATGATGATCAGCCAAGCTCTTTGTCTGCAAGGACCATGAACCAAATATTGTCACAGTCAGTCACTGACTGTGCAAGACTCTTTTCGTACCAACCTTATGAAAAGAAATTTTATTTTTATAGATTGGCTCTCATTACAACAAGTATTACCCCAAACCCTTGAAATAACAAAAAGAATTCTGAAGCCTAGCCAATGACCTTCCTGCTTTATACAATATTGATAAGACAACCCCCTGGGCTACAAAGGAATCTGATGGTGCCTTGGTTTTCTTTGTAATGAGATTTGGCCAGGATCAGGAAAATCATGTATTTATTTAAAATGGATAGCCTGACTGCTTCTCAGAAGGTTTGAAGTGGCTTGCAAAAACAAACCAAACAAACAAACAAAAAACTAGGATGTATTAAGACTTAAACATTTTTAGGAGTACAAAAAAAGAGAAAGGAAATCATCAAATGCATTAGCAGCCCAGGCAAATGCAGCTCCCTTAATTGAGCATTAAACAAACTTAAATGTAGCATTTCCTGTTCCACAGCAAGCAGCACTGAAACTTGGCTGGTGGACCAGTAAAGCTTACCAGTTGTGTTTTCGGCTGACATCCACTCCAAATGGATGATGCTCATGCTGTATTACATGTTAAATATTGTTATCACTCCAGGAGCCAGACAGAGAGTAGGTACTCAATAAATTGTAGCAGTTTTCAGTATTTTTGTCCTGCATTCCCAGCAGCCATGTCACCGGCAGCATTCAGTTAATATTTATTTGAAATTCACAGAAAATATATTCACGTTTTCCCTTTAAGCAACTGCCTGCTAAGTGCCCTCTACCAGCAAACGGAGGCAAGGACTTGATCTTTCTTGGGGCTCTATTTTCCACTATAAGAAAAATGAGTTCAAGAGGCCACAGCTCAATCGATGTTTACCAAAAATCTGATTTTTTGTTCCTAGCTGGGATTTTGCAACCACATTATAAATAACCTGAATAACACACAAGGAGGATGCATCGATTCTAGTCCGCTGCTGAAGAGTATGCAAACACTATATGGAGTTTCTTTAACGTCTGCAAAAAATGGGGTACATTTCTCTCTTCTTCTCTCATTTTCTTTATATTTAAGTTTTCCACCTCTGGAGGAGTGCATGGAGCTAATTGTGCATTTCCCTGTGTGAATAAAGGACGGAGCGTCTGCTTTCACTTCAAATTGCTTGGCTCTCAATCAACATCACCATAAATGTGACATATGAATATTAAATCCAAATATTTTATTGGTGCAGATAAATATGATTTGTAAAAAGAGTCAAATTAACAATCCATTACATACTAATGGGCTCTAATCAATAAGTTTAATTTGACTAAAAGGAGAGGGGCGGGGGATGGGGGAGAAAAGAGACTCAATTACACCCAAATGGTGCCATTTAAAATTATAAAGGTGACTGACTTCTACAACTTTTCAGGTGTATTCTGACTTGGGGGCTTATGGACCCAACATCGGAGCTATGTTGAAAGTGAGCATCTGTCTGTGTTTTGTACACTCATATTTCTAATTATTTTTCTTTAAAATGAATCACTGTAAATACAAAAAGGTACTGAGAATAATGCCAACGAACAAGATCCCACAAAACAGAAAGAAAAACATGTCTTTAAAAGCCATATTTGCTCCAGGTTACTTCAGTAAAAATGAAAAATGCACATCAATCCGAAATTTCTTTTGTCCCATCTCTATCCTACGCTTCTCTTTCCCTTTCTCCTTCTCCAGCTGCTGGACTGAATGTGGTATGTTTCCTTCTTGCCCTCATTTCTGTGCTTTTCCTATAACTACAGGAATCCAGGAGCCATGTGGAATATCACGTGCTGTGTTTGTAAATTCTACAACTTGCTTTTTGTAACTGGCAACCTAGTTCATTCCTTTTAACTGTGGTGTAATATTCCACCATGTGATTCTGGCACTTTCTTTATTCTTTTTTATCTCTCTCCTTCTCTTACTGATGGATAGTTAGGTTGAATCACCTTACTATAGTTATTCTGACACCAGTTAGGAGAAAAATGCCCAAGTTCTCGATGACTGAAGTCGATTTTAGGTCCTTGGACAGATCGCAGCCTCACCTACGGGAAGCACTACATCCCCTCCTCCAGGGCTCTACCAAGGGAGAAACAAGGTAGAAAATCATGCCTTTTTTCTTTGGCTGCTGCTTTTGCATTTTATACAAATAGCCGGCACATGGCAATGTGGCTCGAGCTGGCAGCGCCCTTTGAGCATCAAACGTGTCCTCTTTCCGCCTACCTACTTCGGCTCCGGGTTCTCTCCCGAAGCCCAAATAAAGAAGGTAACAGACAACCCCTCTACAGGCAGAGGCTTCTGCGTTTTCCGACGGGCCGTCTACAGCACATCCGTAATCCTTATGTCAGCCTGCACTCTAGCGTTGCCGGCCGGTCCAGCATCTGACAGCCACGAACCCAAAGCGCCGGCAGCTCGTTTCTAAGCAGCCGCTCACAGCACCAGCCGCCCTCCCGCAGAAGGGGAACAAAGCCCGGCGGACTATCGCACTATCTTCTGGGTGGCAAGGAAATCTCAATTATACACCCAAGGGATGTGGTTTGTGAAAAACTAGAAAGAATGTTTAAATTGTATACGTAAATTGTTTTGTTTTACAAGCTGGGGTAAATCAGCACATTTGCAGCCCATATTTATCTGATCCACTCCGTAAGACTCTTTTTGAATGTATGCCCTTGATGTGGGGTAGATGCCTATGCAAAACATAACCGACCCCTAAATTCAATTAGGGCATTGGGGGGAAAATGGAAATTTTGCTTTGGGGTTAGTCATGACTGCTGAGAACTTCTCGGAATACTTTCTTGGCTGTAACCAAAGATTGAAATCGAAGGATAAAATTTCCAACGGATGCTGAGTAGTCAGAATGTTGGTTCGAGCTAGCCCTTTTAAGAAAAAGATGGCAAATGAAAGGCCTTCCTTTAATCTGATTTCAAGCTCATTTTAAAAAAATTCTTTGTGTCACCCCCAACATAGCATAGTCAACATTTATTGAGCTGGATATAGTATAAGTAATGCTCTCTATCCTGATACCAATACATGGTGGAAGATGAGAATGTATCATTCCATGGGACAAACCGTAAATTGCAAAAAATACCCCAAGGAAAACAACATTTGAAAAGAGAGTGTTTTATTTTTATGCACCTTTTAGCAGCAGTGCACACCCCAGGGATGTGGTTGAAGAAGAAGTAGGAGGATTTAAATTGTATATATAAACTGTTGTGTTTCACAAGCTGGGATAAATCACAGAGAGAGGTCATGGTGATCAGGAAAGTTTGAGGCGGTGTGGAACCTAAGCAGAAATAATCTGGCTTTGACAACGGACTGCTGAACCCTAATCGCTGATAACAGCCGTCGAGCAGCAGAGAAACTCCACTTCATATCGATGTGGCATTTACTCTTTCAGAAAGCCCCCCACTCTGGCCGGCACTTATGGCAAGATAATTAATAGTCCCCTGAGTTATAGATTCCGAGCTAAAGGTAACAGTACATAATGGAAGTCAAGGTCATCCATAATACAGTAGCTTCTATAACAAAGGGGATTATTACTGCAATTACCGTCCTGCTGGAAAGATTTTATAAGTTTTCTTCATTTTAATTCTTAAATCTTCCTCTTGCCAGTGAAGTTTAAACTCTCCGATTTATGATGGAGGAATAAAAGCCTCTCTCATCCCACCACAAAAGCTTTCTCTTTGGAGCAACCGAGGTGGTTTCTAGTGAGGTCAGTGAGAGAAAGGCAGCCCCATTTACCCACGAGGCCTTCGTGAAGTCTTCCCAGGCTGGGCATGTCCGCTTTGTGGTGTCCCGTCCTGTGTCATGTCAGAATACTAAAATACACTCAGACCCCTGATGAAACATATTATTTTCTGCTTGAAAATGGGAATATTTTCTAGTGTGGTTGATAATATTATTATTCATTTCTAGTTGATGGTATTTTTCTTCTCCTCTTGGAGCCAATGATTTTCTCTCCCCTCATTCTCACCACGTCTCAAACATGCTGAAAGGGTCTTGAAAAGCTTCTCTCTGGCCTTTTGCCTGTTGTGTCCGATGAAGACAACAGCTCTGTTTGCCAAGGGCTAAACTCAGGCCGAACGCCGGAGCACATTTTCCACCCAAACTATTTATTGGCTAAATTTGCTCCTGGCTGGAAAAACTCCAGTTCCCGTCATTCATACACACACACACACAAACACACACACCCCAAAACAAAAGATGTTTGAAAAGCGCTTCTAAAAACAGAGCTTAGGTCTGAAAATTGTAATTAATGTAGTAAGACATCCTGCCCAGAGCAGATCAGATGCTATACGAGCCATTTGGGTGAGCCCATGAGCGTGGCGACAGACAGCATCACTCCAGTGCTCTCTGAAACGGTTTTGCACTAACACAGCACGCATTTTTATGATGTGGGCCATCTTGCTGTCTCTCTGCTCTGGACAAAAAAGCAAGCAGACACAATCATCTTTTGAGAATGATGGCATCGT